GCCGTCTTGCGGAAGTAACGGACCGATACGATCATGCGATTATTGTTGTGGCGAGCTCGATCGGACGCGCCTCGTCACCGTCGTCGGTCGTCGTCTTCGTGCGTGACATGTCGCCGCGGGTGGCACGCCGCCAAGTCTCGTGGCAACCCTCGCCGGAGCGGTGATCGAAACCCGCGTGCGAAATCGTCGCACGTGTCACTTGAATGCCGCCGTCGCGTTGCGGGCCGCAGTTCGAATGTCGAAGCAACAAAGGGCCCGTTCCCGATTCAAGGTAGTTATACCGCGAAGGTTAGGCACGCCAAGGGATGCGCAGAGCCGAGGGTGGCGACGGCCGGGACGGTGGTGGTAGTGACGGCGGCGATGCGTCCCCAGCTCTCTAATTAGGTCGCCCGTCTGCCCGCCCGAATGTCCCACCGGCTTAATAATTGCTTCCTACCGCGGCCCCGTAACAATGCCATTATCGATTGTTTAATAGACAATAGAATGGGTTGGCTAGATAGCGATGAGCATCGCGAGTGACGTTTCGCAACGTTCGAAATTCTGTAGCTCTTGTTTCGCTGAGCTGGCTGAGTGTCAATCCGCGGCGGTTCTCTTTGTTTGCAAAACGGAACAGCTGAGATGCGGGACTGTCGTTTGATCGAAAACGGTGCCCCGCGATGCTTATCCGCGTTTTTGGAGCGCCGTTTAATAATAAGTCATAACCTTGTACTGAGAATGCTTTATACCGGTGAATTGTAAAATTATATTTATACAAATAAATTTCTTTGTTGTGCATGCAAAAATAAGTGTATTTAAAAATATTTTAAAACGTTACTTTTCAGAGAGTTGATATTTATATATCAATATTCTAAGTAATGAAGTTTAATGGACTTTCTACAATAAGCCATTACCTAAGCTTTAAATCCTAAGACAAAAAATTAATAGTCAAAATAAAATGTAAGAAGAATAATTATAATTAGTCATTTTCTTACGATTTAAGATTTAAAGGTATTGACTTAGATAATGGATTATTGTAGAAAATTTATAAAAAACTATACAACAAAAATAAAACATTATTACGAACCTTTTTAATACAGCGTAATATTTCTTATGTATTAGGTAATCACTCCTCTAAGGTCTTTGGTTCTCTGTACTGATACTAGAGAAAAAGACATGGAGGAGTGGTTGACTTCAAGAACAACGACGGAGAATCATCCTCAAGGTGATTCTGGGACTGCAGAGATACTGGGAGGTAATCATCAGTTTTACGTAACTAGTCACGCTAGACCTACATATTGCAGTGTCTGCAGGGATGCTCTTCCTGGTAAGGATTTTTTTCATTGTAAATTACAATTATTTAAAGATAGTGGTTAAATTAATAATGTTACATTGTTACAGGTGTTACTTCTCATGGTTTGAGTTGTGAAGCTTGTAAATACAAGGTACACAAAAGATGTGTTGCAAAAGCAATAAATAATTGCAAGTGGACAACATTGGCATCCATTGGAAAAGATATTATTGAGGACCAAGATGGGGTGTGTATATACGTTATTAAAAATATATCTTTGGAAATTAATAATCAAAAAAGTATATAATTTTAATCAGAAACATATCTTTTAATAACTTCTTATAATCGTTCGTCTGATAAATGTATCAACAATGTACAATTCTTGTATCATTTAATCTTTATTGTAGAACATTACGATGCCACATCAGTGGATGGAGGGGAACTTGCCAGTGTCCTCAAAGTGCTTCGTCTGCGAAAAGACATGCGGTTCTGTACTTAGGTATTTACATCCCACTACGTTTTTACGTAAGTAGTTGATAAAATTAAATAGATATTCAAATCAACATATTATACATAGGCTTCAAGACTGGAGATGCGTGTGGTGCAAAGCAACTGTACATACAGCATGCAGACCTGCCATGAGTATCAAGTGTCCATTAGGACCATGTAAACTCAGTATAGTGCCTCCTACGGCTTTGCATAATATAGGTAATCTATCTGTTTGTATCATAAAATATATCATTTGTATGAATTTGTATATAACTATCCAAATATCAAACTTTTATAATAGTAATAATTGTGTACGTGATTCAATTATTATCAGGCAGCGACGAAGCTTGGGAAGCAGTTAGACCTACGGGATGCAGTCCACTTTTAGTATTTGTAAACAGTAAATCTGGTGACAATCAAGGTATTAAGTTTCTAAGAAGATTTAAACAATTACTGAATCCCGCACAAGTGTTCGACCTTGTACAAGGAGGACCAGGTCCAGGGTAGGCAAATCTTTATACGCTAATTACAATTAATCAATCGTGAATCTATAATTCGTTAGCATACGTGTAGCAAAGTGTGTATAAACGCTTCGAATACAAGAATTACGTGTCTTGCTCAGATTACGACTGTTCCGGCATTTTGATCCCTTCCGGATTTTAGTATGTAGTGGTGATGGATCTGTAGGATGGGTTCTTTCAGAAATCGATCGACTTGGAATGCACGTGAGTAAATGCGTATTTTAAAACTATGAGTGATAATTTTTTTATCACTTTATCTCTTTCAGCATGATTTCTTAGTGACTATCACTTCATCTCAAATCTAATTACGCTCTACCAGGGCTGCATTGTTTAAAGCGTTTAAGCGTATTTCTTTCTGCGCATAGCCTAGAAATTTAGCGATATTTTTTGACTTACAATACATAATGCATGAATGTAAATTGCAGTTAAAATTCATTATACATGAGATTAAAGGAGCATTACTGTATATTGTTTTAAACTTTAATATATCTATTTTTTAACATACAGAGTGATTCTTAATTATATGTCAATTCAGAGACTAAATATAGAGAAGAATTTATATATATACATAATTATTATTAAATAATATATTTTAAAGTATTATTTTTGAAAAAAAAAATATGTATGAATCTTTCTTTCCAAAATATTTAGATTTTTTTTAGTTCAATTGAGAATTGTGAGATGACTTTCGATATTTTCGAAACATCGTCAGAATTATCACAAGAGAGGGTATATTTAGACAAGATATGACATGATTAAATTTGATTTGAATTTCATCCTCTCAATATCGACAACTTAATTCTTGAAATTGAGATTTGTAATTTACAGTTTGATTAGCTCTGAATTATAATCTTTTGAGATGGGTGCAAAACTTGGATTGGATTTAGTATCGCATTACTTCTTGTTCAAATAAGTTATATTCTCGTAACAACTTTCTGATGACATTTTGAAGGTATCGGAAAATGTACATTCAAACTTTCGCGCTTATCTTATTTAATTGTCTTGGAAAGAGAGATAGATTAGAGAATGGACATTCCAAATATTTTGTTTAATTTATTACAGCTCGGAAAATAAAACTTTTTTCTCGAACTCCGCTTATTCTTTTGAATTATTGATGTATATTCGAAAGAATTGCTCTGTAACTAATATATACAATGTTTGAGTAGTGCTAATATTCAGAGCTATAATATTGCAGCCAATGGTATTAATTTTTTCAAACTTTTGATTATAAACTGCATGGCGTGTCTCTTTTTATGATTTTATTCCAGATGAAATCGGTGTGTGTGCTTTAGGCTTCTTTATATACACGAAGCTTTGTTAACTTTTTTTGCAGGCGGTAAGTGTATGCATGACTATCTAATCTATCTAATCTACAGTTTTTATTAGGAACTAATATAATTAAAATGTACTACTAAATGCATTGCATAAAATGAAGAGAAATATACATTTTATTTTTTAAATTTGCAGAGGCAATGCCAAATTGGAGTACTACCTTTAGGAACAGGAAATGATTTAGCGCGCGTATTAGGGTGGGGTTCGTCATGTGACGATGACGCGCATTTACCTCAATTAATGGAGAAGTATGAGAAAGCGGGTACAAAAATGCTAGATCGGTGGAGTATTATGACATTCGAACGCAACATATCTTTGTCATGTCACAAAGTAGCTCAGCCGGACCCGACTATAAAATCAAGCATAGCTCATCAGTATGAAGACAGCGTTCTTGCTCATTTAACAAATATTTTGCAATCTGATCAGGAAAGTGTAGTTTTATCTAGTGCCAAGTAAGTAATATAATCACACATATACATAAAATATATATGCATATAATTTAAAAAGAAAAATCAAATAAAAGCAATATATATGCATATATATATATATATATATATATATATATATTCGAAAATAATATTATTGCAGTTTCATGAAAAATTAAATAATAAAAATGTAAGGCGATTTTCTTCTGTAAAATAGTGTTTTTAAGTATAAATATTAAAAGTTTGTTAAACTTAAAAAACTACCTCGCGCAAAAAAATGGCTTACACTTTTGCTAAGTTTATTTATATATTTATTTATACTGAAGAGAGGATCCAAACGTATATTTATCTCTTATAATAAAGTATATATAATTACACACTTACAACCTGTGTTGGCTCTCAAAGGCTTTTCTTTAACGTTTTGATTTACACTTTTATTACTTAACTGTTCACGAAGTTTCACAATGCAATAATATTCTTCTGGGATTTCGGGACACCCTCTATGAATTTGCATGAGGTTTAAGTTTTAGCATTTAAATTAAGAGGTTTTTCTTACAGAGTTTTATGTACAACAGTAAAAGATTTTGAAACATATATACTAGAAGCCAGTCTAAACACAGGGGACCAACAATTGGGAGAAAAATGTACAATACTTCAACAAAAACTTGACTTATTATTGCAAACATTATCAAAAGAAGAAAGCTATTTCTCCGATAATACGGAAGACATTGACGTTGGCACTTTAAAAACTGATACTTTTAGCGCCATCCAAGAGAAAGGTGATTTAGAAAAACCAGAAAAAGAAATGACAAATTTTAAAAAAATTAAAAGAACATGCTATATGGAGAAAGATATTGTAATGTCCAGGTACAGCATATATTCATATATTGATATATATTGTATTATAAATGTAGAAAGTGAGACGTATATTTTAATGATGTTTATAGAGTAAATAGTTTGAAAAAAGCTGTCAGGAAATTAGTGGAACACGCAGAAACATCTGTCGACGAGCAGAACAATCCTTCAGATGAGAAACAAAGCAGTAAGATGTCAAATATCGCAAGAGTATTCGATAGTTCTCCGATAAATACTATGACAAGTAAAATTAAACTTGTCATAGTATTTATCGGAAAACTATTGAATACTTTCTTTATATTGATAACAATAAAACTGATTTTCATATTTGTTTTTTTCGTACCGCATTATGGATAACTTTGGCGAAAAGCAGCAATTGAACATGATTTATCAATAAACTTATATTGTTGGCCTGATCGCAAACAGATCAGGCTATATGTCTACCAGTTGCAGAATCCAGCAGCATAGAGATCTCTTGCCCAAGTTCTACTCCTAATGTGGCATTCCTGAGCCCAATGCCGGATTTAAGGAGAGACTCGCAACCCGAAGAATTACTGACGCTTCCTGCACCCGATAGTTTTGCCGACAGTAGACGAAACAGCGAAAACATACCACAAGGGTAACTTTCAACATGAACTCAATGGCGTATTGTCAATACTTGCATTCTACAAGTTACACGTAACTCGATGTAATTTTAGAGTTCTCAATTTTGACGTACCCGCAGTACAAACTATCAGCGGTCAACAAGAAATTCAAGCAGCTATTAATGATAATCTTCTATTGTCCGAACCGACACAAATAGAAGCTTCCTCTGACGTTCCAATAACTGTGACAAAAATCACTTTAGACACAAGTACACCGTCAGATGATGCGACTACAGTCGTATCTCTCGACATGGATTCGTTTCATTCTAAAAACATTTCGCCAGAACATGTGCAAAAACCTGCGATAATCAAACTAGAAACTAGAAGTAGCTGTACCAACAGTACAGATAGCATGGTTTCCGAAACTTTTGATTCCAGGAGTTACACTGTGCGAAATAGCACATTGAGTGAAGTTGGTAAGTAGATACTTACCAATATGGCAAGTATCGTAAAAGTGTCACTTTGTATGTATTTCTTATCTTGTTATTAGATAATTTCTCTGACACTTTTCAGATCATAAAGACAGCGATATATTTGACTCTACGAGAAAATGGGAAAACGCGGAGATAGGATACTACGACTCGCCGGATAATTCCGATATGCTTTCCAGTGAAATTCAACACTCGGAAAGCGGCTTGGAAGATTTGAGCTCCCTCAGACAGGATGTTATTATGGGTGATGTGATAATGGGGCATGATTCTGTCAGTGAAGGCTTAGAATTTGAGGAATCACATAGATATTGCGGCTTAGCTCAATTCAGCGAAGGGAATGACATTGGAAGATACTCATTTAAGAAAGGCAGAAAAAATATAAAGACGGATAAAGAAGTAAATAAATATTTCGATTTTTTTAAATGAAATATGTGAAATTAACACTATTTTATTATATAAGTTAATTTTATATATTTTATGTATATAATATTTATGTACATAATATATAAAATTAACTGTGTTTTCTGTTATCAGGGAATGCTAAGTAAATATAAAATGGAGGGCTTAACAACATGCGTCCGTGTCTCAGGAATTAAGTCGCCGCAATCTGTGGAAACAAACGTTGTACTTGAGACTACGTTTGAAACCTTTGAAAAGGAGAAAACATCCGATTTGTTGGGACCAGTATGCTGTTTCCCCGTTCCGGACAATACCAACGAAAAGTGCTGTACAAATTTTCCGCCACAGATTAGTGTTATCGTTGATCCACCAAGTCCAACGTTGTCAATTGAGAGTCATCACAAATTTAATTTAGATTACAAATTGGATCCACATGACAAGCAATACAGTGGCAATAGTATGGAAAGACGTAAGTTTGATCAATTAAAAAATTATTACATGGAAATTATAAATGCATATATTTTAATAATTTTTCTAATAATGCAGTAAGCGTAGAGTTACCCAACTCAGGCTTCTCTCCGCAAGCTACACGTCGTATAAGCAGCGGAAGTTTGTTGAAGGCATCAGAAGTTGTGTCGTTAATGGCAACTACCGCTCGTTTAGGTGGCTCGAGTGTGAGCTTGCGCCACGAAAGAGCAAAATCTGTAGACAAAACGGAGGACGTGAAGAAACTTCCTATAATAAATCCTTTAGTTCGATTGCCCATGTGGCCAAGTGAGTAAAAATACAATGTTAAAATATGATTATTTTATATAATTATTTACGTGTCTTTTTTGTAAATACAGATGTAAGTGGAGGAGCTGGTCTTATCAGTCAAGTTTTGTTGGCAAATGCAGACGCTCTATGTGCACCGGTATCGCCATTAATGGATCCAGACGAAACATTGATGTAATTCACACATATCTGATATCATTATGTAATTAGTACATTTGATATATATATATAGATATCACGAAACTTTTTTTTGTATTACAGGGAAGGCTACTTTGAACGATGTGTCATGAACAATTACTTCGGTATTGGCATAGATGCAAAGATTAGTCTCGATTTTCACAATAAGAGAGAAGAGCACCCTGAGAAATGTCGATCGCGTGCTAAGAATTACATGTGGTACGGTGTCTTGGGCTCTAAAGAGTGGATACAGAAAACTTATAAAAATCTTGAGCAGAGAGTTCAATTGGAGTGCGACGGTCAAAGGATACCATTGCCGTCCTTGCAAGGAATTGTGATATTAAATATACCGAGGTACTTGTGATAATAAATATATCTATATATGATTTTTAATGATCTAAGTTAAAGTTTTAAAAGCAAAGTTTTATTCCCTGATAACAGTTTTATGGGCGGTACAAACTTTTGGGGAGGTACAAAGGAAGGAGATCTATTCTTAGCACCATCGTTCGACGACCGTATATTGGAAGTAGTTGCGGTCTTCGGATCTGTTCAAATGGCTGCTTCGCGACTCATAAATTTACAGCATCACAGGATAGCTCAGTGCCAAACAGTCCAAATTAATATCTTAGGAGAAGAAGGTGTTCCTATACAAGTCGATGGGGAGGCTTGGATTCAACCACCTGGTGTGATAAAAATTATACACAAGAATCGCATGCAAATGCTTTATAGAAATAGGGTAAGTATCTATCAGGGCTCGCAAACTCCTTTGCTGTTTTGTCATTAGTTGTCTACAGCATTGTGGATTTTTAATAACAAATAATAACGAAGTGTGACATCTCATATATACACCTTTAAGACTTGAGTCACAAGACAGTTATCATACAAGATAGTTACTTGTTATTAAAAATCTACAATGCTGCAGACAACTAATAGCAGAACGAGTTTATGAATCCTAGTATTTGTCGTGATTTTTTAATGGAAAAAATAATTTTAATTTATGTAATCGAAAATATTTTTTGTCTCAGGCACTTGAAACCTCATTGAAAACATGGGAAGAGAAACAGCGCAGTACATTAAACGCTCAATCTTCTATAAACAATGCATCACAGTCTAAACCACAGTTGCAACTTTGCAATAAGCCTCCTCAGTTGAATGATGAAGAATTAAATGTCCTATTAAGTTTTATTGAAACTGTAACGACCTTGGTCAAGTGGGTAAAACTGCTGATTATATCACATCCGACCTTGGAAAGAGATCTGTACCAAGTAGCCTCGCGAACAGCATACGCGCTTGAACAAGTACATCCCAATGGTAAAATCTTGCAAGGGGTAAGTTTGAATTAGGGAATTAGTTAGAAATTTGTCACGATAATCTACTTATTTTTTTAACTTTTTCGATTTGTTAATACAGGTAAGCCTGAGACCCACGGTAACCGAATTGGTATCAAGCGCACGGCAATTGTACGAAGAATCTTGTGAATTACTGCACGATAAAGCACATAACTTGGTGAGCGGAGCAAATGTTATGACTGTAAAATATTTACGCAATGATTAAACTAACAGTTATTTCCTTAACGTAGAAATTACGAGAAGATTTAGGAAACAAGTTATCTGTATCTCTAGCTCAAATGGAACAGCAATTACGAAAATGTACCTTTGATGAAGGAGGCACAGGGCTGGTTTACTTGCAAAATATTCCCGCAGATGATCAGGTATAGTTCTTTCTTATAATGCTTAATGCAATGCTGCTTAAAGTCAATTATTTAAAGAGATACGAGTTATGAAATTAACTATTTTTACATTTTTGTCATGTATTTTGCATTGTGATAAAGTTTACATATACACTGAGAAAAAATTTATTAAATTTTAATAAATATTACTTTGAATGGTTCCAGCGGAATATTTATTTACGGTAAATAAATATTTATATAAATGACAAAAAAAATGATAATTGAATCAAACTAATGGTTTTTGTATCTAATAAATACGTGTTTATAAATTTATTAAATATATTCTAGGAATATTCAAAGAAATATTTATTAAAATTTAGTAAATTTTTTTCACAGTGTACATTTTGTAATATTTACATTTAATTAACGGAATACTAATTGAATTTTTAATACTTAATATACAAAAAGTTTATTTTATAACTATTCAAGTATTCACTCACAAATATAATTTAAAGAATTAGATTTATATAGACTCTTTAGGTGGTACGATTAATTTATCTGTTCTATATTTATAGTTGTTCATAATTTTCCACAAGATTATTAAAATCAAGCGAAACACATTGATGATAAAATTAACGATAAAAATTTCCATTATCTTATTCTATTGGTATTCGATATTCCATCTTTCCAGTATATTCCAAAAGAAGATTATATAGAACACTATTCTTGTAAATAAGTTTTGAGAAATGCTAATTGGTTAGTTGGATAACACAAAGATATGTAATATTATGAAAGCACCTCTCTTTACATACATATTTTACACGAAAATTTACAATCTTTTTTGAGAAAAGTTTACAATTTATTAAGCGTAAATGTTGTTTTCAAATGATAATTAATACATTATCCTATGCTTTGTTTCGGATTGATTGAGTGCTCAATCCCAGTGCTGGTAATATGCTTTTAAGTATTAATGCTTATGACATTAGAGAAATAGAATTAGCATTTTTAGAGACTTAGTTTTGCGGAACATGATGCTGATTATTTTTGTATACATTTGTATGTATGTGCGTGCGTGCATGTATTACATCTGCTGAGAGATGGAATTGCCGTTTAGATTGCCTTTTTATTTGTTTATTCTCGCTTGCGGCTCTACTGTAGTCCACAGTGAGACAAACATATATTGTGTGATATTTAGCGACGCTGTACTTATCTTCAGTTACGTTAGCCAACGCAACACATCCGAGTATGCACTTGAATTATATGCAACTTAACTTTTACTTTTGTTATCGCGCCTCCGGTTTCTCATGATTTCGTGAGAGTTTGTTGCACTGTAACAATGAGAGGGGAACTTTCGTGATTTTATGAGAGATGTATCTTTTAGCGAATGTATATGAATCTTGCTAAAGTACAACAATAAATATATATAATGGAATATCTTATATATATTGTCTCATTAATGTATACCGAAAGCATATCTGCAGTATTTGCGCGACTTTGAATCACACTATCGCAAACGGCCATATAGGTCATTCGAGAGCTACTTTGTATGCCTGACGAATCCATTGTCACGTTTAATCCCGAGTGCAAATCTTCACCTGCATATGATTAGCATGTTTCTAACGTATGCGTACAAAATAGCATACCGCTTTACTACTAATCTGACTAACCGTGTACTAACCGACATCTCGAACTCTGGATCTGCAGGGAGATAAAAAAAATCGTCATCGAGGGTTATTTTGGTTGAAGTGTCGTCGCACTGCTGGCAGCGGGGGTCCGACTCGAGATCTGGTTACTACTTGGGGAGTTCCAGAGGTCTGTACGTGGTTGGAAAATCTGCGACTGGCAGAATATACGGAGAAATTCGTTGCTCATGATATACGAGGTAGAGAACTGTTAACCTTAGCTCGTCGAGATCTAAAAGAGTTAGGAATCACAAAGATTGGACATATGAAACGTATTTTACAAGCCATCAATGATCTGAATAACTGAGTTCAGGTCATGTAAAATGTTGTCTCGAAGAGGGCGTATTCCTCTGTCTCGTTAATTGTATTAACATTTTAGGGCAAGAAAATATCTATTTTCTATGAATTTATTTCGTTTGTATATTCTTGCTCTAAAACGTTATAATTACAATTCTCGAGTGACATTATGGGGATTAAATGGAAAGAAATGTTGAAATCTATCTAATGTTACTGCACGGAAGGAGACCATCTTACTTGTTACTGTATAATAAATTCAGCTTTGCACTTGTGAGTAGTCTTTGTATGGAAGAAAACCATTTTGCCTGTGTCGAATTCTTTATTAAAAAAAATTGTACATGTGAAATGGTTTCCTTCCATATAAAGATTACACACAAGAACGAAGCTGAATTTATTATGCACTAACAAATTTTCAGCGCAATTCTATTTATATATCCGTATATATAGTACAAAATACGTGATTCTAGAATAGGCACTTTTGTCCTTTTAGATATACATTGAAATGTAAAGAAATTTTCTTTAATGTTGCAAATACGTTGATTTAAATTCGTTAGTGTTTTATACAAGACATTGTATAAAAGACAAAAATAAGTAAGTCGTTGTAAATCTTATTAGTATCCTACCTAGAGTATTAGTACTCCACTATTAGTCTCTATTAGAGTCCACTATTAGACTCCTTCAAAGGTCACAAGTTTATATCACAAATAGTTCAGATTTATGTTGTAATGTATGTACTCATGATTCTACTTTTGCAAACTGGAGATTTTCCATGTCTCTTTTAGATACATATATCAATCTGTACATACCATTTTCAATCTGTAATAAAACTATAAGATATATTGGTCAATTGTTTAAATATGTCTGTATAAGTATGTATGATTTTATGAAATTTTATTGAAAATAATGTTAATCAAAAAAGCTATATAACAGGAAGGCATTTACCTGATATATTTTTCCAACAAAAAAAAGATAACAAGAAAGTTTAGAATGTTAATCTTTGATAAATAATTTTGATTATTAAATATTATATTATTTCTAATATTTTTAGAAATTTTCAAATTATTCACTATATAAAAAAATGCAAAAATTTTAACTAGTTTTATACAGAATGTGTATATAATATCACTATTTTTATATGTTTCAAAGATTATTAAGTCAGTGATAGTTTTAAAAACATTGAAAATTAACATACATCCCATTGAAGCAATAAAGGAAAAAGATATTTCTCATAAGCCTGCTCATCTCCAGTCAAAATTACATAATCGAGCGGCTACGAAAAATTCATCACAGATAATTAAATATTTAAAAATTAAATCAGTTTTCCAGAAAAAAAGGAAAATAATAAATTAAATTCTTTGGTCTTCTTAAAACTAATATATTGTAATTTTCATGCTTATTTAATACAATCCCTAAAATGTCAATTTTTATAACTATGTCTTCTGCTCTTTTTATATGTATATAGATATACTTGTGTCAATGTTATCTTGTGTGTATTCTTCAGATATTCTTGCAGTAAGATAAGATTATTAATATATGAAATATTGACAATCTCATATTATCGTGTACAATCCACATGTGTATGATAACATTCCTTTCCAAAATGTGATTATGTTATTTTATATAGGAAAAGATGAGATAAGGTGAATTCCTTAAGCGGAAATGGCTATTTTTTTATTAATGACAAAACAAATGAAATTGTAACATAATGAAGCTTTAAAATGTTTATTACGAAATCATAATCAAATTTTCAAATCTTGCAAAAGATTTTTATAAAACTTAATTTTGGTCCATTTTACCTTATAGGTAAGGTACTAATAAAATTTGCGACAGACTTGGAAAATTGAGAAAAGTCAGGGAAATTGAAATTGATCATGGAAAACCGGAAAAAGTTAGGGGAAAATATAAAAGAGACTGGAATTTTGAACTTTGCTCACAATTCCCTTAAACTGTTCCTATTCTAAATAATTTTTTAATATTATATCTGATGTTTATAACAAATACGTTCAAAACTCGTGCACTTTAAACGATTTTTTTTGAATAATTAAAATTTATATTTTATTCAGTAATTTTATTTGATCATCCTTTTTCGTCATAACTGCATTCTTTTTTTCAACTAATTAATTTTTTGTTGGCTTGAATTTGCCCCCAAAATTTTATTATGTTACTAAGCTTCTACATATATTTTTAATAATATAAACTTATAGCTTTCTTACAATCCTTGATTCTAAGTGTTAAAATTTTTTACACATTTTATATTGGTCATGGAAATTTCCCATTTTTATTTAAAAAACCTGGAAAAGTCAGGAAATTTTAAAGTTCATTTTCTGTAACAACACTAAATTTAGTAAATGAATCATTTTACCCTGCGGTCCATCTTTACCCCACCCTCTCCTACTTTATTAAAATAAAGCAATTATCGAATGTACCTCACAATTTATGGTGAATGTTAAAAAGATGTTAATCTTAATGTATAAGTGTTAATCTAAATGTTAATCTTAATATATAAACAAACGTATTTAATCGTATTTAATTACTGTTCCTAATAAACAGTATTTTAAAAATAAGCTTCGAATGAATTTGAAGAAGAAATAGTATTTATAGGATATAAGATTTTCAGGAATCTATTTTCATTTATATGTTTTCTAAACATTTCTTTCACTGATGTATTTTATACTTCTTTTCGAATGTATGTATTCGTGAGAGTATATTTTATCCTTTTACCTGTGATATTTTTCTAATCTTAAAGTTATTACTATGTAATTCAGAATGGATAAGCAGATTTACGTGAAGATATATTTTTTCTTCTCAATTTGTGACTCTTTGACAATTTGTGAATCTTTGAACTATACATAAAAGCAGTGATATTATACACACATTCTGAACTAGTTTAAAATCATTGCTTAAAAATGTTCGCGTTTAGCGTTTTTGGTAAATCTTTAGATTAGGGGACCCTCCCCAATGACTTTGATCTTGACATATGTTATCAAAGTCAAGGACTCTGAGTGACCTCCAACAAATTTTAGCCAACAAGTTTCGCTCGTCCTTCGTTAAAAAGTAATTAATAACAAAAGTTTCAAAAATAACGTATTAAAGATTTACCACGTTTTTATATAGTAAATAATTTGAAAATTTCTAAAAATGCTTGAAATAATTCACACTTGACAATTAAAATTATTTATCAGAGATTAACATTATAAACTGTTTTGTTATATTTTTTTTGTTAAAAAATGTATTAGATAAATGTGTTCGTGTTTTATACAGATACAGTTAAATATAATTAATCAATAAACCTTATAATTTTAGATGAAAATAGTATGTATGAATTGATATATATATCCAAAAGAGACACAGAAAATCTCTAGTTTGCAAAGTAGAACCATGAGTACATACATTACAACTTTTCTTCCTTTATTAAATCTGACAGTACTGTGATAAAAACTAATCTGTAATGCAAGAAAAATTATCTCTACGATATTAAAATATTATTTATATTCCAATATTTTAGCAATATACAATATTTATAATATTCTTAAGGCTTCCACGGATGCTTTCTGTATAAAGATTATGCGTTTCGCGGGTTTTCTCCGTGTGCAGATCCATTCTTGGAATGCCTTTGGAACTGTATTATAAATCCTGTGCTATATAAGAAAAATCTCGCATTGGATCGAAAAAGCTATTTAAGAATAAACGTGTTCAATTTGTTATATACAAGCACTTTATCTTGATGAAAGTAGATATATAAAATCTACTATTGCCAAGATAATTACTACATAATTTCTACATGTATTAATCTTTTTGTACTTAAGTATATTATAAATTACAATATTGCATTATATAAGATGAAAATTTTACGAATTATTCACACTCTGTATAAAGAGATCACTATTCTGTAATAAAATTAAATATCAAAATTCTGTATTTTAAAATTTCTACGTTATTCTTTTCCCTAATAAATTAATTATTTAAGTTATAAAAATGTGAGAAAAAGTAATATTACAAAATCATTAATATTTTAATTGTGCTCGATATTGCTTAACATTTTTTTTGCATTTTACAATTATTTTTCCATACAATGTAAATATATAATATTATATATTAAGTATAATGTTAATACATATGAATATATACATGATATATTAAAATGGATTACATTACGTAATATACGTTATTTAACGAATTCATATATTTAGCAGATTTTTTATGCAAAAAATCGATGCCACTGTTAATGAAAAGACATAATATATGTACTTTTTTAATTAAATAAAAATATTTTGTCTACATTTTAATATGTCTGTTCCTTTTATAGATATAAAATGTACACAAAATATTTTTAATTTAGTTCCCTTAAATTAAATTTATAAAATATTTAACTACATCATGTTAAAATTATAAATTATATACACAATGGTTTTTGTTTTTCTAGCAATACAATGCAATCATTTTTGGAAGATATTGAATAATATTGATGAACTCGCGGAACTGATTTTTTGTAGAATTACATCCTCCCTGTAGAAATATATGTAAGCTAGATTTATTTCCTTAAATGTATTTTACCTTTAACAGTACAATCCATTTGCAATTACGCAACATATATAAGTTCTCAAGAAACGCAACGCTGTAATCGCAATAACGTTCTATCCTTTCCTAAAATTTCCATCATTTCAGCAACAGGTGGTCCGATCTATGAAGCATTAATATTATGTATTATATATATTAATAGCTTTTTCTTTACAATAAAAATATATTTATATGGTATATTTACGTTTACGCCGCTCATAACGCTTCTCAGAGTTTTCATCAAAGGAGCGAATGGAACTCCGTTCTTCTTAGCAAAATCTTTTAGATAAGGTGCCATCCAATCGGTCTTGTAATTACTCGCATCTATTTCCACTAATTCCGCGTTCAATAGTTTAATCGCATCTGAAATAATGTAACACATAATTTTTGACAAATAGGACTCGATACTCTTCGTATAAAAAAATATTAATACCTGAACATCCATCTTGTTTAACATTTGGCATAGAAGATGGAACAATCCATAAAAATGCTAAATCTTCTTTGACGAGATCATTGAGTGTCGTTATCCTGTTTTGTGCCCATTTTAATGTGGCTATTATGTGATCATCATCTAATTGCAAATTTCTATCATTTTTCCTATAGTATATAGAAATGATATAAGCAATTTTTTAAAAGTAAAATTATTAGCAATGCTACATGTAGAATTAAACATACCATTCGGGGAAAGCTTCTAACACTAATTTCTTAATTCTTTCAATAAAAAATTTATGGTTTTTTTCATTTCGTAGTAAATTCGCCATTTCCAGTTTATTAAATTCCAATAATTTCTCGGGCATAAGTTTGCCAAAACTTGATTTTAATTTAGTAATATCAAACTGTACAATGAAAAATAAAATACATATCAATAAAACGTAAATGTATTTTATATTCTTATATATTATATATATT